TATTAAATGCTGAGATATAATAAAGAAGGATATGATGGAGGCTGCGTGCGATTTCTTGGGTGGTAGCCCTTTGCCAAGATTTTATTCTTCGTCATACAGAGTGCTTATTCCAAAGGTGGAGAACCCACAAGGATTTGATAAGTTTCGATCAATTAGTCTGTGCTCAGTGGCGTATAAGATTTTTTCAAAAATCCTGGTGAAGAGAATGGCTAGCTTGCTTCCAAAAGTTATATCTCATGAACAAGGAGCTTTTGTCACAGGGAGGAGCACTTTTGATAACATCACTTTAACACAAGAGATGGTTTACTCATTAAATTGCAAGGTTCATGGCGGGAATGTAGTGGTTAAAGTGGATATGGCGAAGGCATATGATAGAGTGGATTGATGGTTTTTACTGCATGTACTACGCTCTTTTGGTTTTCCTCACAGTTTCTGCTCCATAATTTCTGAATGTATATCTACGCCTTAGTTCTCCATTATGATGAATAGAACCACAAAGGGGTTTTTTAAGCCATCTCGGGGTTTGAGGCAAGGTGATCCTATATCCCCATATCTATTTATTATCATGAAAGAGGTGTTGACTAGGTTACTCAGAAGGAAATTCGAAGATGGATGCATAGGATCTTTTTCACATCCTCGTGGTGCACCTTTGGTGTAACATTGGCTATATGCTGATGATATCGTAGTCTTTGCTAATGGAAGTAAAAGATCGATGAAAGCTTTAATGAAGACTTTTCAATTATATGAAAAATGGATAGGTCAAGTTATTAATAAGGAGAAGTCAGCCATATTCTTTGCTAAACATTGTGGGGCAATTCACAAGCACAAGGTTCTTCGATTAAGCTCTTTTAGAGAGGGTTCCTTTCCAATAATCTCTTTGGGAGTACCAGTGATGGTTGGAAGATTGACTGCTCACCATCTACATTTTCTAGTAGAGAAAGTTCAAAAAAAGATTGCTGGCTAGAAAATGCAGCTGTTGTTACAAGGGGGTCGTCTTGTTCTATTGAGACATATTTTGTCATGTATGGCAACCCACTTACTATCTGTTTTAAGTGTTCCTAAATCAGTTTTTAAGACGTTAAATTCCAAATTATCCTCTTTTTTCTGGGGTGAGTTTAATGGAAGGACTAGGAAAAAAATGGTTCTCGTGGGAGAAAATTTGTAAACCACTGATGGAAGGAGGCCTTGGGATTCGTAAGTTTGACAAAATTCAAAAATCTCTACACATGAAGCCCCTGTTTGATCCCCATTAAATTAAATTA